TGCACAGATTCCATGAGATCAGGCATGGGAAGCACTTGTATAGCACATTCCATGGTATGTGTATCGATTAGGAATAGTTTTCTTGGTGACAGTCAGCCCAAACTTGCCAGCCAAAGGGGTGAAGCATCTTAGAAGAGGATCCTTAGCTCTCAGTAGAGGTATACCTAGCCAATGCCGCATGGAGAAGAGATGAATGTGTGCAAAATATGTGTTGATTTAAGGCATGAAGTTTTGGGGCAGTTTGTTATACAGCAATAGATAACCAGAACATGTATGAAATACTGTTTACTGCCTATCCACAAAGCTATCCCTGCCCCTCTTTCTTCCTAACAAAAACTGGATTTTATTCAGGTGTCAGACAGAGCTTCCTTGACCTTAATCAACTCCACCCTTTGTCAGGGGGGTAGCCATGTGATCACGTACTGGTCAAAGTGATATAAAAGGAGGTCTGCTGGGGGCTTCTGGGAAAAGGCTTTCCTACCCTTAAGGAGGAGAAATTTCCTGCTTTCTGCATTCCCCTACTTCCTGTCTTTGAACATGGAGTATGAATATGATGTCTGGAGCTGCTGCAGCCATTTTGTGACTATGAGGAGAAGCCAGGGAAATTGCACACTCTGAAATTCACATTGTTGAGCTGCTAAATCAAACCCAGCACCTCCCACTGCTTGACTTCTTGCTATGTTTAAATCACTATTAGCTGAATATTCTTTAACTTGTCCCTGAAAATGTTCCTAATGATGCGCTGGGCTTCCTTGTTGCCCTATAATGAATCTCTGCTGTAATTTCACTATCTGTCTCAATGTTCCCTAGATCTAGACAGGACAGAAACTGTGAATTCCTATGTACCTAGAAGGTGCTGTTAAGAAATGAAGGAATCTGCCCTTGAGCCCATTACATACCTTTTACCTCTTAGTCCCAAGCAAATCCTTATATGCATGAGCACGTGCTGTGATGGAGAATGGAGAAAATCCCAGGAACTACCAACAATTTCTCCCCCTGTGCAAATGCAGCTTTAATTTGTATGGGTTTGGCAGAAAATGAGCCAAGAAATGATAAAGATCTCTGTGGTGATTTTACAATATGACCACAAATTCTTTGATGCTCTTCCCTTCAAGAAGTGGAGCTTAATTCTACTTAGCCCAGCATCGTCTCATCCTACTTGCTCAGGATGAGATGATGCTGGGCTAAGGGCCAGGCGGGGGCCCAGGCACTGAAGAAGCAAAGGACACAGACTGGGTGTAAAACAGAGACAGGGTGTTTCCAGGGTGTTCTGGCCACACATCAGCCATGACACGTGGGCATCTGTTACCCAGCCTTAGACGCTCCCCTCCCCCTTTGCACGGAGCACCCAGAGACCAGGCCAGGTGCTTAACTCAGTTGACTGCAGGATCCCAGGTGACACAGGGAGAAGTCACACGTGGGGCCTCGCCACCCCACACATTGCCAGAGGCTGCTCAGCCCAGGGCCAGGCCCCCAAGGTCCCTCAGCCTCCCGGGGAGGAAGGGGCTTCGTCCCCAGCCCCAGGTCCACCCTGGCCTGTTCCAGGGTCAGCTCCTCTCTGTCCCTGGGGAGGTCCCTGCAGCCCAGAGGGGGCCACTTCCGACCACGACCGGGGAAGCAGCTCCTGAGTCAGCTTCTGCCCCTGGGTGTCCCGAGGTGGGGCTCAGACAGTCCAGCTGGGCTGTGGGGACACACCCCCCCCCAGGCCCCTGTGCCTCCCTCGAGATGTGCAGGGCTCCCTCCCGGCACGGGAACTTGGACACAGATACACAAATGGCCCCAGGACAAGGGGACCTGGAGGGGCAGTGGTGGAGATGGCGATTCAGGGAAAACATTGCGATGGGCAGAGGGGGCTGGTGCCCGTGTCACCACATGGACGCGGACACAACCCGGAAGCGTCTTCACTTGGACAGAACGTGCTGACCCCTGACAGCGCCAGGCCAGGTTACTTGGGGGGACTCTAAGACCAGGCTGTGGCTCCTTTCTGGGGGCATTTCCTCCCCTCTAAGGACAGGTCCTGGGGCAGCTCCGACACTGGCCCAGACCAGCCTCAGCCCCTCACAGGTCCCCCCTCAGAGTTCCCTCTGGCCTTTGATTTACTCAGACAGCGAACTGGGGAACCCTATCACCTTAAGTCAGGGGCTACCAGGCCAGCGCTGAGGGGACAGTCAGCCCACGGGAGGTGGGGGCAGCTCGTGGGACGTGCAGGGGGAGCCACAGGCCCATGGGAGGAGCACCGCCTGGTACTGCAGAGAAAAGCCAACACTCTGTATGGGAATTGTCCCAAATTGAAAATGTTGCAAATAGGACGTCCCTGGTGGCGCAGTGGTTAAGAATCCCCCTGCTGATGCAGGGGACACAGGTTCATGCCCTGGTCCGGGAAGATCCCACAGGCACAGAGCAACTAAGCCTGCACACCACAACTACTGAGCCTGCATGCCACAACTACTGAAGCCCACGCACCTAGAGCCCGTGCTCCACAACAAGAGAAGCCACCGCAATGAGAAGCCTGAAAACTGCAACAAAGAGTAGCCCCGTTCGCCACAACTAGAGAAAGCCCGCGCGCAGCAACGAAGACTCAACGCAGCCAAAAATAAATAAATAAATATTTTTTAAAAAAGAAAATGTTTCAAATAATACCCATTTTTTGAAAACACTGTGCAGGTTGAGTGACAGATTCAGTTTCTGGGCACCAGCAGGTGGCTTTGGCCTTGAGGAGCTGGTGCATTTGTACCAGCTACACTTCAGATGGGCAGGGCAGGTGTGAGTCTCTCTCTCTCTTCCTCCCCCTCCTTCCTTGGTCCTGGTCGCCAGAGCCCCGCCCTCCCCCAGGAGCAACCCCTCTGCCTCTCAGGCTTCTCTTCCTGGAATCATCTCCTCCCCCAGCAGGGAGGTTCAGCCTTCCTGACTGAAGGCTCAGCTACATCCTGACACCCCCGCGCGGCTGGGTGGCCGAGCCTCCATCACAGAGCCCGGCCCCCATCAGATTGGGGTGGAGGACAGGGGCACAGAGACGCTGGCCAGAAGCATGAGTCTGGAAGGGATCGGGGCTCTACGAACAGCCAGAAAGCACTCACTGGCACTGCTGGCCTCGCCCGGTGCCCGGTGTCCACGGACACGCTCACCCCTGTGCTAACGCGGGAGACCCAAAGACAATCCCGCTGGGGGGACCCTGAGACCCCGTCCCATCACCTAGGGCTGCTGCCTCCGCGGGTGCCCGTTACACTCTTCCTTCTTCCTTTGGACTCGCTCGCGCCACCTGCAAAGGAGGGACTGAAAGCACAGGGGAGCGAGCGGTGGGCGGGCGCGCACTTTAGAGCTCAGTGCCCACGGTGCAGCGGTTGCAGCCTCCGCGGCGGGGAGGGCCGAGGGGCGGAGCTGGGGTCCCACCGGCAGCTGCACCCTTGCCGTGGCCTTAGCCGCACTTGGGGGGCAGCCTCTTGCCCCGACCAGCCTTCTTCCCACGCGTGGACTTGGAGCCGGCGGGCGGCCGAGCCCTGGGCTGGCCGCCCTTGGCCTGCGCCCCAGCGCCCGCGCGCCCCTTCCTGCTATTGCTTCCTGCCGCCTCGTCCTGGGCTTCCGTCTCGGGAGGGATGCCCAGCCCGCCGGGGCCGCCGCCTCCCCTTCGGATTTTGCGGGTCCCCGACGGGGCGGGAGCCGCTGCCCAAGCCCGCCCGATCCGGGGCCCTAAAGGCCGGACGGGCCCACTTGGCCCGGGGCTTCCTGGACGCGCGGTCCTCGGACTCCGACTCCTCGCTCTCCACGTCCTCCGACTCCCTGTTCCAGCGGGCCGCCCGCAGCGCCAAAACCTCCCCCAGGTTGCCTTTGGCGCATCTGAACCTCCCGCTCTGCCAGGCCTTTTCCTTTTCTTCCTATCACCTCAGCCACGTCCTGGGCATCCAGGAGCACCGCTAGCTCCAGGAGGCCGCCCTCATCTTCCTCGTCCTCGCCCCAGCCCCCAGTGGGCCACCGGGAGCCTTCTTCCCTTTGCAGGTGGTCCGAGGCTCAGCCATGGTGGAGATGCATCCCAGCAAGTGAGAGCCGTCTTCGGCCTTCCTCAGGACCACGGCGTCCACCTGGCGCCTGCCTCCTCCACCTTCACTCGGGTTCCTCGGGAAGTGTCCTTGGCCATGACGGACAAGACGTCGGGCAGGGCAGCTTTTTTGTCTTTCTTTTCGCTCCAGCCCAGCGACTCGATCACAGAAGCGATTTTCAACGTCTCCCTGCAGGTTTTGATGTCTGATGAAATCCTGTAGGCCATGATGTCTAGAACTCGGGGTTCTCCATGCCCTTCTGGGTGACCTGGTTGCCTCATCCCTCAGACTCCCCTCCTGAAGCACCACTGCCCTTGAGCGCCTCAGGTGTGTCCCTCACGGCCATGAGAGCCACCGTGTTGCAGATACTGCTCCTGGCTTCTGTGATGCTCAAGCTGATCACATCGGGCGGCTCCTTCTCTGTCACTTTCTTCTTGGCTTTGTCCAAAACGGTCGCCAGGGCCAAGAACTCCATGGAGACTGACTGTCTGCCTCATCCACGTCTCTCTGCACGGCTTCCTTGCAACGGTTTGGAGTGTTGCGTAGAGCGCGCTGGCATTGCCATTTATCCCTGCCCAAGTCCTCCTCTTCCACCTCTGCGATCTCGATGCCCAGGCTCTGATGGAAGAATCCTTCAGCTCCTTTTTTGCAGAGGTAAATGGCGGTCCTCCTCGGCCCCTCTTTTTGTCTCTGGCTCTATTTCTGAGACCCCACCCCCACCCGCACTGCCCTTGCTAGCCTTGCTGGCTGCACCTGGAACGGGGCCTGGGTCTCTGAATTGACAGATGAGTCCCCGGGGGCCCTGGCCACTGCGGCCTGGGGAGCCTTTCATGCAGCAGCAAGCTGCCTCAGGACAGTTTCATCTGCCTCAGGACTCTCGTGTCCTTGCACAGAACCCTCCGGACGCCGTTCTTGCCCGGGATCCCCCTGGGGATAGCACCGTGATTAAAGTCCGCCACAAACTCCATGAAGGTGGCCTTGGCCTTCTTCTCCCTCACGTCCCTCGTGTTCCTCAACCTGAACGTGCCCTGGCGCGAGAAGGCTGGCTGCAGGACGGCTTCGATGGCGCCTGTTCTAGGTCCTCCGGGATGCTGGTGACCAGCAGGGCCCTGTGCACGTCCACAGCCAGCGCCCTGCATGAGTATGGGCCTCCTGGGTGACGGATCACTACTCTCCCTCCCACTCCAGCCAAGTGTGACACACACCCCCTCCCCCTTCGTCCTGCCAGTTTTTTCGCATCTACATCAGAGTGGGCAGCAGGCTTTGGCTCCCGGGCACTGGCACCTCTCCTTCCCCCACGGGCTACTGCCGGTTCCATGACAACCGCTTTTAGGCTGTTGCCAGGGTCTGAGCATTTGTTTTGAGGAACCCAATGAAAATGAGAATATTCGCCTTGTAGTTTCACTGGGCAGGCCTCACACAGAAAACTCAGTCCCGCTCACTGGCGGATCAAGTCTCAGGAGGACCAGGCCTTAATGGGGGGTGATCAGCCCTCACTCGGGGTTACTCGGGGTCTGGAGTGAGTTTGATGGCTAGGGCCAGGAGGCGGGGTCTGGACTGAAGCTGAGGCTGGGGATGGGAGTGCAAGTGGCAGGTCTGTGTCCCGGTGGGGCTAAGGGCCCCTGGTTGGTGGCTGTGTGAGATGGAGGCTGAGCCCGAGCAGTGGGCCAGGCCTGGTTCAGGGGCACGACTGCCGTCCGGGTTTCACAGCCCTCCGGGCAGCCACAGCTACCAGGACCGCGGTGGGACCTTCTCTGTAGATCAGAGCAGGCGGGGTGCTCAGAGGGCAAGGCCTACTCGTGGGATGGGCCTGCGGCCACTGCAAATCATCATATCATAGTGACCCCCAGGGGGCCACTTGAATGATATCTCAATATCTGTGGCATTAACACCTCAAGTGCTACCTCCAGAGCTGCCCCTTCAAGCCTTCGGGCCTGTCCCTCCCCTCCCCC